ACTCGAAAGTAGTTTTTGAAAAATAGAATTTTTTTATGAAAACTTGCTAGGATTTGTCATTTGTATAATAAAATAAATGTTTGAAAATTATCTATTATAGTTAAACGTTAATTGAATTCGTATTTGCAAATGAGAAGTAAATCATAGATATATATTATGAAATTTATCCCAACAAATTTAACTCGAAATAATTATTATTATAATAAAGACTTTTTTGCATTTAAAAAAAATAATATTGACTATGATTGAATTATGCTTTTTTTGATAAATATAGAATGGGTAATTGAATTATAGGAAAAAATGATTCGATTTTCTGATATATAAATGAAAAATGATAGTTTTTGAAAGTAAGAATCATTTATTAAAATAATAAATAAATAATAATTATATAAAATAATTTAAAAATATCTTCATCCTATATATATAAAATAATATTAAAACAATCTCACTAGTCATCAATTTAAATCAAAACTAATATATCTGTATTCGAACATATATTTAATATTTTCATTAAAAGATTATTTTTAATTTCGAAAAAATTCCAAGAGAAAATCTATGTGAAAGAAAAAAAATTGATTCTGTTTTAAGAAGATCATTCAAAACGAACCAATAGAAATCTTCCTTTAGTTTTCTTTGTTAAAAATAGTTTCATTTATCATATATTTAATGATTCAGTAATTATTCGTCATCATTATTTTTTTTCTAAATTTAATTGAAACAAGGCGTGGACTTAATTGAATAATACTGTTTTTATTTATTAATTATACGAAAAACGATATTAAATTTTGGTGAATACTTTATCTTTGTTTTCTTTAAAATATTTAAGAATATTATGGAAGCATTTTCTATTTTAATTAGAACAATATCAAATAACAAATATTGTCAAACATGAATAAATGAATGTTTAACTTTTAAAATAAAAAGAATGTCTCGTTAAAAAGAAAGAGCAACGAATATAAACGATGATAGTATATATATATGTATATCGTGGTTATTTTGTTTTCGATTTGTTAATTAAAATAATATGTTCAATATTAGAGGTTTCTATTTAGTGTCTGTCTATCTATTAACCTAATGTTTGTTGGTTTGACTAACATTATCAAGTGAATTAAAAAAAAAAAGAATGAACATTATTGATAATTTTCTTGTGTTTTTTCTTGTAGATGATGACTTCAATGAACTAAGTCAAACAAAAGTACTTATTTATTTGTCGATTGAATCGATTTGCGAAAAAACGCGAACGAAAGACAAAAAACAAATCTAAATGTATACCAATATAAAAATGATTGAATTGTCGTTATAATAATATGTCAATGAACAAACACAGGCATATATGTTATTGAAAAAGGAATTACAAATAAAAACAATTTCAAGTGTATTTTTCAATAGATTTTCTTTTACCTGATTTATTAATGTAAGTTTTTTTGATTTAAATCAATGCCAATCATTGTTTTTTATTATTTTAGAACAAAAAGAAAGCAAAATATTAATTAATGATGATGAATCAGTTGGAATGTTATATTCAAAATTATGTCTTTGATTTAAATATGGATATGGAACCAAACTTAGATGCATGGCGTTCATATGAACATATTCGTAATTATTATGTGTTAGAAGGCGATCAATTACATTGGTTAGCTGCATCATTATATGTATCATGTAGACGATATCTTCATATAACAACATATAATAATAATCCAATATAAATATTACGTTTATTAAAAAGTGGTAATCATTTAGAATTGTTTTTTTTTAATTAGATAAATAGGAATATATGACCAATTTATTTGATTCAATTCGATCAAAAATTGATCAGGTTGAACATGCATTTAATATATCATCAATTATACTTGGAAAATATACAAAAATATTATTGATATATTTTTTGGAAATCAATATAAATTAATTTATTGCGATTATTAATATAAAAGAACATCAAATGAAATAAATCCTAAATTGAATATAAAAAATAAATTAGATAAATGTTCACATCAAGATTTATATTCATTTATTTGGACAATATATATGTATTAACCAGAACAGCTTATCCATCAACTATAAATGATCTTATTGCTTCATTTCTTTTGTTTATTTCTTGTTTTGTTTTATTCATGATTATGCTAAATTAGCGAAATTAGATTATTTAGTTAAAGATAAACATTTATTATAACAACGTTTTTATTTATATTCATTATATGTATATGTCATTTTAATCGACATTGTTTTGTCTGAGTTAACGATTAAGTATCATATGTACTTTTTTTTCAATTTATTTGTTTCTTACTTCTTATCAAATTATGATTTCACAAGAGTTTTTTTTTTTAATTTTATTTAAACTTAAAAAGTTTTATGTTTCTATATAAAACATACTTTATTTTAAAATACTTGTTAAAATTCTTTAATATAAAAATCTATTTTGTTTAATATATTTAGATCATTTTTATTCAAAAAAACATTTGAGATAAATATGAGACAAATTCAATTTTATTTGCTTGATATAGAATTAAATTAAATTATATTTTTTATTTAGAGATTTATAAATCTATTATTAAATAAAAACCGTTTCAAATGTTTATTTTGGAATATGTTTCGATCGTTTAGAAAAATTAAAAAAAAATTGTTTTCTTAATATTATTATTAATGGATGAAAATGTAAATAATCGATATATGATTAACGATTATTTGAAATATTGATTGACAATTCAGTCGTTGTCAATTCATATCGTTTAAATTATTTATAGTCATAACTGTGAACAATTGATTTATCATCATTTCTAAGTGATGTAATTAAGAGTAGGATTTGCAACTAATGATTATATTCATATTTAAATATGTTCTCGATATATGCATTTAAAAATATATTAAATCTGATTATAATTATCATGAATAATAATCAATGTTTGATAGATAAGTTATTTAAATATTAAGTTTATTTAATTAGAAATAGATCTCTATAATAAACGACTTATTTGAATTTATTAGATAGAATTAAATAAAGATATATTCATATTCGACTTTAAATATCATCATATTTAAGGAGTTGTTCAACTTCTTCTTTTATTTTCTTAAATAAAGTATGAAAACAATTCGTTGAAACGATGAAAGATTAGCTTAAGACTTTCATAAGTCGAATATGTATTGTTCGAGTTGGTTATTATGTTATAAATCGATACTTGTTTCGTAAACAATATTGAAAGCTAATCGAACTAATTCAATTATTTATTCGAAAGAATAAATAACAGTTAGAATATTATTTGATAATAGAAATAATTTAATTAGAACGTATCTAATAAATCATATAAATAGTTAAAAAAATTTCTTTTTTTTTCTTAAGGTTCTTGTTTAAATGAGTCATGTTCAAATGATAGAAGCATATTCGATAAATTATGTATGATGTATTGTTGTTCTTCGGATATGTGTCGATCAATAATCCAACAATATTTAAAAAATGTTTTGTTTGAATGGCTTGATAAAAAAAGAAGATTTTTTAAATGAATTTCATTATTTGGTAACAATTCGTGATATAAACCATGAATATGATGAAATTGTTTTAATGAGTTTTACTATTGATGAAAGAATTTTTTTAGAATTATTTTTCAGTACAATCATATATGACTTCATTTTTCAGTTAATCAACATTTATAATTGTGTTGAGATTCTATCGATATATAATCGATATTATAGAATAGAATTAAAAGAAAATGATATCAATAATTTGATTTAAAATGAATAACAGATTTAAAAGAAAAAATATTCAATTAGAAATCGAAAGATATTTCCGATAGATGGTTTTCGTGATGATCAATAATCATTTATAAATAATTTAAATCTTGAAAAGTTATTTCAATTAATCTATTTTAGATTTTTATTATTGTGACAAATCAGATATATCCTCGAATTTATATTTTAGAGAGAGACGATTATCATCACTACTTTTTTGTTATTAACTTAAACAAATAAATATTTATTTTTATATAAGACATTCATTTTTTTAAATACTTTTTAAAATAAAGACAACTTAATTAAAGTTAAAAGGAATTTTTGTTTCTTGTTGAAGATCTATTCTCTTTAAATTAGAATAAATTGAATAATATTTGTTTATGATATTCAAGTTTATTTAAAATGATGATTGTTTTAATGATATATAATATTTAAAACGTTATCAATAATTGAATAAAGACTAAAAAAAAGAACCAAATTTTTGTTTTACTGTGAAATATATCAGTGAGTATTTATTTAATAGTCGATATGATGTAATAAAAAATGTAAATAAAATAACTGGTAATTTCGATGTGTGTTTTTTTTTTTCTTGTAAGACAAAATATTGGCAATCTTTAAAAAAATTTCTTTTTTAATCAACATTGAAAATAGTTTAGCATACCGTTTTATTATCATAAGCATCAATATAATGTATTAATAACATATGTTTGTAAGACAATTTATTGTTGATCTGAAAAAGTAGAATTCTTTTTCCAATTTATATTATATATATATTTGATTTTACCATTTTATTGTAACATATAACAAATTGAACTGTTAACAAGATTGTTATATTTTTGGCAAATTAGTGCTAATCGAAAAAACAAAATTTAGTAATCCATTTACTTAATATTAAAAATATTTGACTTACTAATTTATTATGAAAATCATAGAATCAACGTTTAAACAGAATCTCGGTGCAAGTGAAAATCATTAAATATTAGCAATAAAATTTTTTTTTCCAATTAATATTTGAAATATTTTTACCAACTATTGTAATATGAAAAGTATTGAGATAATTTATTAATGCAATCGCAATGTGAAATAAACTATTGAATATTAAGTAGTTTTGCAAATTTGTTAATATTATATGTCTCATAACATAATTGATTAGTTGTTGGGTGAATAGAAAAGTATTCGTGAGATGATAGATGACATTACGAAATTGTTTTTATAATAAATAAAATGAAACATAATGAAAAGTTAAATAAAAGTATACATAAAAAAAAAAGTAAATAAACATAAAAGAATAACACATAGATGAACCCAATACAATTTAAGTACACAGATAATTAGAAAATATATAAAGAAAGGAAAACAAAAAATATTATAAAAAAAAATTAAATTAATCAAGTAAATAAAATATGCTCAGACGAAAGAAAGGCTGGGCTCCCATCAATACAAACAACACTATCGTAATGTGGAATATTTGGATCATAACATAGATGTAATTGATGTTCAAGAAAGTCGGAGCCAGGAATAAGTATAGGTTTTTTTGAATTCATGAACAATTATATTTTTATTGATGATAACTGCTGTAGATGAAAGTGCAAGATGATCAGCATATGTTCCATCTTTACTCATTTCTTCAATATAATTTTCTATTGTTGAATACATTTCATCAATAAATGATGCAAAATCGTTCATATTTTGAATTAAATAGTTTATTGTTTCAGATCTAATATTTAAATGATCGTCTTCGTATCTATATAGTTGATGTGAAATTGCACGAAAGAAACAATTACCATCTG